AAAACAGCCCAGGAAGAATATGCCATACGATTTCCAGTGAAGCGTCAATGTAAAGAAGCTTCAAGCGAGTCATTGTTTGCCGGGTGAACAAGAGAAAGAAGATTTTCATTTAGCTCTAAAACTACAGCAACAAGAAATCGAAATCGATTCCGATGGCGTAGAATCAGTCAACTGCAGTGAGGACGAAGACCAGATACAATGCGAAGCAAACGCGCCTGCGGCTTTGTTATGTTTAAAAAGTCGGCGTAAATAGAACAATGGCACCGTTAATACAAATGCTATATATATTGCTACTAAATGTTAATTGTTTGGTCTGCGCCCTGATCCTATTAGACGGACGTTGATATTTAGGGATGCACCATTATATTTGCGGCTAGTTCATATTTATTTTTTTGAGTTTGATTTTTCAACGGTATGAGCTTTATCGTTTGTACAATTTATTAAATATTAAGTTCCGAAAATTTATTTAAAATCTAAGTTTACTGAAGTTCGTATGAAATTCATACATGAATTTGGGAACTTTTGCGTTCAGCTTTGTGTTGATTATAACATTTTTTTTCCTGAAATCGACATGTTACATATTTCTATTTTTAGCAAATCCTATAGCTAATGATAAACAGATAATGATAAACATAAACAGACGCGCTTCGGGTTATGTTGTCTCTTCTGTTCAAAGTTATAACAGTGCGTTCAATCATCACTTTTTTCTATTCAAAGCTACTAGAAATACATGCATACAAAGTCCCAAATAAACATATATTTCCATCATTGAAATTCTATAATACTCGTTTCTGCTGAATGATCGGAGTCGCAAAGTAAAATCCTATATCTTGGTACAATTATAAAGTCTACTCTCGAGCTATCAAATTCGACTATAATCATAATTGTGCTACGAATTGCTTTAAAAATAATACAGTTTTAGCGAAATTTCAATTGCTTTTTAAACAGATTCACCATTAAAAATAAATACTTTTCAAATCAAAATCATTTTAACGAAATCAACGAATAAATTCAAAGAGGTGTCATACATTTGTTGATAAATCCACATATTTATAAACTTACAAAATACTTGCATGCTTTAGAATACAAAATCTACCTATTTACCTGTTCAAAAACACTCCAAAAATGCTTCAAAATCGTTGATTTTTCAACATCTATTTGAATCAAAGTTTTTCGATCCGAAAACACCATTTACTTTACGTTTTGATCAATTTTACGATTGAATTTTTCCGTATATTTTCAAAACCATCCAAATGAAAAATTTTTTTTTAAAAATTTTATAATTCAAAATATCAGTTATGCTGACGCGAACCAAAATTTTAATTTAGCCAATCGCATGCTTCCAAACGTTTGTTAGTTACCAGTTGTAACTCGTCTTAAACTTACGCATGCGCATAACTTACAAAAACCCCCAACATCCATGACATAATGGCGGACAACTTTCATTTCGCATTTGCATTCCCGGGCGTAATTAAAATCTCCGGGCGGAATTAGTACCCTCGCCCGGTGCTTCACACCGGCTCGGGGATCAAACAGTAATTGTATTCATTATTTTACTTCCTCGCCTCGTCCCTCGCCACTGCTCGGCTTTGCTTACGTAAGACTTTCTATACTTCAAGGTAACCTGTATATTCGAAAAATCCTTTCATGTCTCCAGGTGTAATTGCCTCTAATGAAGTGTACATGTTATATATGCATTCAGGAATTGTTATGTTCGTACAGTCTCCAAATCTATACTTCAATAACGTACGCATCTTTCCAAACACGTATTCTGCAGGGTTGAAATCGGGCGAGTAAGCAGGCATATATACCAGTTCTATGTCAATATCATTTAAAAATTCTCTTAAGATTCTGCCTCCATCGTAGTGATGGGTTCCGCAATTGTCCATAACAATAACAGAACCAGGTTCTAACACGGGCTGTCCAGTTCGAACATTTATAGAGTCGGAAGCTTCTTCAAAAAATTTGAGAAAATCTAAGGTATCTGCACTCCAGTCAACTGTATTTGCGTAATCTACGCCAGTTAGTGAACACATAAGGTTAACCGTTGTATTTGCAGTTTCGGCGTACCTCTGAAATTCTACCGCTCTTTCTCTCATCGGGGCATGCCCGTATCTTCGCGCAGTGTGCTTTGGTAATTTTAAACCACATTCATCAAAAAATTTGAGAGTATATGGATTTTTACCATGCAGGTATTCGATGAAAACCTGTGAATATGCCATGTTTTGTAAAGTGCATCGTTCTTGTGCAATTGTTACGAAATGCGAATATATGTAATTTAGCATTGTTAAAAAACACAAGGTCAATATCGACGAGGAACTTACTTGGGGAACACGTCATATAAAATGAAGTGTAAAGTAAATATTATTATGACCCTTCGGAATCACAAAATTACTTTTCCTGTCATAAGGTCACAGCCCATGGGATTTTCCTCCGAAACAATAGTATGTCGTACAAAGTACAAGTGTCACGACTCAAGAACATAAGTTCTTAGCGGATACTAGTTTATGTCAATCATGTCTTTGTTATATTTTGCTCGGTTAAGCACTTGAAGCCTTACGTCACTAAAAGCCTAATTCGATGAAATTATTTGTAAAATAGTTTATAAGTTGAGATACGGTTCACAGAGTAATAAGTTGATGCTTGTGCTTTAAGTTGATGATAAATAGTTTAAGTTGTGAACAAGTTTTAACAGTGATCGATTAAGTAAAAGACCAACTTGACTAGTGCGTCACCGGCCTTAAGTAAACAAAGTATGAGAGCTGGACCGAGCTTCTAACGCCAACCCACACTTACAACCTACAACGCTGATTGGATTGTGTGAATCACACCATCTTGCACAGGGCGTCTTCAAGATCCCCTCAAATTTTATTATAAAAGGAGGCGCACAGCAACAGAACATTCAGTGGACTAAACACGAGAGTGGACTAAAAAGAGTGGACTAAGCACGAGAGTGGACTAAACACGAGAGTGGGCTAAACACGAGAGTGGACTAAAAGGAGTGGACTAGTGGAGTAAAAAGTATATGAAACGTTGGAGAAGCTCAACCTGACAGAACAGACAGCCAAGACGAGAACAGAAAACAAAGAGGTCCGAAAGGACGAATAATCCGAAGAGAAGAGAAGAATGAGAAAGAAGAGAACTTTAGTGAACTTTAGTAAAAACGTTGTAAAAGATCTCCTACCTTGCGCATATAGAAATAACATAATATAGACTTAACATTTGGTGCAGGATCGGCCTTACAAAACGTTTCGGAAACTCAATCAGTCCACTATTAGTATATACTCACAAGAAATCAGAACAATCAATATTACAAACATTGCTTAGAAACAGGTGCTGAAGCGACCTGATGACTGGTTCGAAAGAAACGCACGCTCTGTATTTATCCATACTTCTACTTACGGCAATGCTAGACTTTGTTTCACGTTTTGGATGTCTCTTCAAGACAGCTGTCCACAACCTCTACACTTCCCATGAACTAGAATTGAAACTACAATCGTTTTGCCCTCAGTCTGCAGTCCAAGACGAGTTTGGCAATATGTTCTTCCTCTATCCTAATATGATGGCTATGTCGAATATCTAGCCAACGAGGTACCAGTGGAAGCCTCCGTGGTCGTTGAAATACGACTACTGAGAGTCTGAGACGTATGAAAGTTTCAGAATTTACCGGATCCTTCCTGATGGTCAGCGCGTTTATAAATGGACATGAAACTGGACACATTTTAAGATTTGTATAATTTAAGTTTTTGTCATTGACATGACATGTTACATGTATATGTTATTATGTCTGTTTTTGTTCGATAATATTAAACACGAGAGTATAGCTGTTCAACTAAAATTCCTTAGGTACACTCAGCATGCTCATTAAACATGTTGCCGTAGGATAGCGCATGCATGTTTTTAATTGGGTCAGTGTATAAATTTCATTCTGACGCTTTTAGTTATGCGTCATTCGTTGAAAATATATTTTTCTCTTCCCCCGGGACAGTCAAGGGTCTCCCAAACTTGTTGTAATAGATTATAATTCTTTTTAAGCTAAAAGCTTAAATATTAGGCACATTCTTGTTTTCTCTATGTAGACTCGGTATTATATTGTTGATGAAAACCTACATTTTGGAGTTTGGTTTGCTGTGCATGGCGTTTAAAATTTAAAATGAGTTTCAGTAATATTAAGAAATATACGTGTAAAATTTGTTTGCATGAGTTGAAATATTTTGAAGAATTATTAAGACGTATATATAGGTTTAGGTTATTATTATGGAGAGATGTTTTGTCGGAAGAGCTTTATAATAATTTCCTGTTATGTGAAGTTGATCAACCAAAAATCTGAATACAATAGACCTTATGCATAATGACGTCATAACACCTTAAGCGCGCGGTTAATTATGGTCTTTGTGGTCACAGAGCGGGAAAATAATTTCAAGATGGCTACTGTCGAAAGTGAGTGTTTTGAAGTTCTTAACTGTCTTTTAAAGGCTGTTCAAGCCAACGAGGATTCTAGTTCTTTTGAGAACTCTTGCACGGATCCTCTGCGGTTGGATAACTCTGAAAGTCAGTGCACTAGTCGGCTTTCTTCGTCGAATTTTACGAGGCCATGTGGAGGTGCTGGAGGTTATACGTGTTGTGTTCCTGGTTGTTAAAGCAACCACAAAAGGAATCCAGAGCTTTCCTTTTATAGCATTCCTAGTGGTAAAAGTGAAGAGTCGAAAGAACTTCGAAAGAAGTGGATTAATCTCATTTCACGCAGGGATTTCTCTCCTACAATTGGTCATAGAATTTGTTCGTTGCATTTTCCTGGGGGACGTAAAACCTATTTAAACAACCTTCCTACGATTGTTCCCAAAGCAACCAGACCTACACCAACGAAACCTCGTTCAACGGTAAAGGCAAAAAATCGGACTCTTGTATCATGTACAAAATCTGTACCTGCTAAACGCAGACCTTTTTCAGAACTTGATGATAACAATAATTCATCACGCTCAATAGAAGAACCAGATAAAATGGCTACACCTGTAAATGAGAATATTGATCCTATTGCTTGTTTACAAGAACAAACGGAAAAACTTTTAGCAACTAATGAGAAACTTAAGGAGGAGAATGGAAGACTTAAAAATGAAAATAAATGTCAAAAAGATGAGATAAGAGGATTAACGGAGCAACTGGAACAAGAGAGGAAAAGAATACGTTTTTCAATTGAATGTTTTAAGGACAATGACATTCTCATTAGGTTTTATACGGGGCTGGAAGACTACAAAACCTTCAAAACATTGTTTGATTCATTTGGACCGGCAGTGAATAATCTGGTGTATTATGGTACCAAGACTGATTTGGAAAGGTTAAGCTCTGAAGATGTAATTAAACGTGGACCTAAAAGAACAAATTCACCTGAACAGGAATTTTTCCTTGTGTTGGCTCGCTTGCGATTGGGGCTTTTAGAAGAAGATATAGCGACCAGAGCTGGGTTGTCTCAATCACATATGTCAAGAATATTTATTACTTGGGTTGACTTCTTGCATTCAAGGTTACGTAGCTTTCCAATTTGGCCATCCAGAAAAGCAGTTGATAATTCAATGCCAGCTTCATTTAGAGATATGTATCCTTCGACACGAGTTATTATTGATTGCACAGAAATATTTATTGAAAAACCAAATTCTTTTAGAAGTCAAAGTGCAACATTCTCCACTTACAAAAGCCACAACACTGCCAAGGGTTTAGTTGGCATAAGCCCATCAGGAGCTGTCACTTTTGTATCGGATTTGTATGCAGGAAGATCAAGTGATCAACAAATTACTATTGATTGTGGAATTCTGAACTTGGTAGAAAATGGAGACTCAATTATGGCTGATAGAGGATTTGATATTGAGCACAATTTACCAGATGGAGTGTCACTAAATATACCACCATTCATGCGTGAGAAAGAGCACTTGTCAATTGAAGAGGAAACCAAGACTCGAAGAATAGCTTCTGTTAGGATCCATGTGGAGCGGGCAATTGCCAGAATAAAGAATTTTAAAATTTTAAGTACAGTCTTTCCAATTTCCATGGCAGCAAATTTAAACAAAATTTGGGTGATTTGTTGTTACCTTTCTAACTTTTTACCACCACTACTTGTAGAAAATAACAAGCTGGACTAGATGATAGTTTTTCTGCAATCCTCCTTGCTTTATTATTTATTCGGCCTAACAAGATGATTTTACCTGACATTGACATGGCTGGAGTTAACCTTTTAAAAGGCAACCCTATAGCATTTCATTCTATCAAAGGCTTAAAATTTGCCCATAATAAAGGCTAGGTCCAAAACATTTTCACATTAAATCCATTGTAGGCTGTGAAACTTTATTAAACTTTGTGTGTCCTACCCCTTAATGGTTAATCTATTCTTTAACCCATTAAGTGCCAGGGTTTCCCCAGACAAGTAAAATCATCTGGCGTTTGTTAAAAAAAAATAAGTAGGGCGCACTGGGGCACTTTGCCAGTTAATGAGTTAAAGGTATTTGCATCTATTATTTGGAATTTTTAACAGAAATATACTAGAGTAGAGGGGTAACCTTCACCTTACTCCCAATAAAAGCCTTTGAAAGTTTTTAGAGTGTTACAAAACTGTAACCATTTTGTGGCTCATGAACTCTTTAACCTATTAATTAAAGTGGCAATGCACCCCAGTGCTCCCTACTTATTTTTTTGACAAACACCAGGCGATTTTACTTGTCAATGGAGAAGCCCTGGTGCTTAATGCAGTGGTGCAGCCAGCCCAACAAATTAGTCATGCTATGCAAATTTTAACTTATTATTCATTTCTTTAGAAATTGATTGTTTTCATGGTCTATGAACACGAAATTATTTGCATAGCATGACCAAATTGTCAGGCTGGCTTCGCTACTGGCTTAATGCGTTAAGCAGCAATGCACTCCGATGTGCCCTAGTTTATTATTTTACTACATGTCTAATGCCAGATGACTTGTCAAGTAGAGAGTGTTGCCACTCAATGGGTTAAACAACAGTAATAACGTGTTGCTTGAGGACAGGATTTCATTAGTCAATGAAGTTAATCTAGGAAATTAGCTTCTCGAATTATCACAGTTGATACATATACTTTACCTTGCTCCTTCAATATTGTCTTAATTAAGTACTATTTAAAGCATGCACAGGAGTGTTTTATCATATTTAAAATGCAAGTGCGCAGCACGAGCATTTCACATATGATAAAACAGGACTACAAATGCTTTAAATGACCAAAAACATGAATACAATAGATGCTGTCTCATTAGTATTCTTTGTTGCTGATTAGTGTGGACTGTATATAAAGAATACTAATGAAGATGAGTTTTATCAGGTATATAGCCACTTCAAGTGACATATTTTGGTATAAGTAAAAAAGCCAGTAAAAAACAATTGATGTGTGTTTTATTAATGTCATTTACAAGAAGGAAGAATAAATGAAAAGTAAAATGATGTTAGTTCTGGCAGCATTTTGTTCTCCCACAAAGAAGTGTCCTTATAGATACGCTGAACATGCATATCAGCATTGGTGTATACCACAAAATCAATCCAGGGTAAATTTAAAATGTTCAAGACACCTTAACATTGATAATAATATGCATGGTTCACTTTAAGTTCTAATCCACTTTCGCTTTTTTTTAAATAAAAACCTTTGACACTTTGTGCAGTTTCATTAACATTCATTTCTTTCACTGAGTAAGGACACTTAACTTCAATGCATCCAACTGGAACACCATCTTTTATGACAATTCCATCAGGGCTACAACCCAGCCATGGCCACTGGGGACTGATGACTAACCCACAACATGTGACAAAAGCACTGCCTTTTAATGTTACATCTTGATATTTAGCAATTGCATTACTTTCATTATCCAGGCCCCACTGTACAGATGCAGGCACTTTTCTTTTCTCATGATCAACACATAAAATTGATTCAATCAGTGAAGCTGGATGGTTTTTCTTTCTATATTTGATAACTTTGCCAAAAATTGAAGCAGTAAGCCTTTTAGATCGTTCAGCGTACCATTGAGGATCTTTGTTTTGCCTCATAGTACTCAAACATATATCCTTAGCAGTGGATACAGTCAACCCAACTTTTGTTTTTACTAGTTCTAGTTGTTCTGGGCTGTAATCAGATGGAGGGGTGTAACCATTTGGCACATTTTTAAAGATCTGATCAACCAGTTGACTTGGTGGTATTTGCGTTGGAATAGGAACAGAGCTGTTGTCCAGTTTTCTATTTTGCAACTGATTACAAGATGTCTCGAAAAGTTCACATGGCTTATAGTTATTTGAGGCTATAGCTTCACGAAATAGTGAAGCGCAATTGGCTTTCTCAAATGCATTTGCCATAGACTTAATTTCTTCTGCAGTCACAGTCCGAGCAAATGGTGGAGTAGCACAATAGTCTTCCCTACTCCCTTTTACAATATACCTTTTGGCAGGTTTGTTCACATCAACTTTTTCAAATAGCATTTCTTCAAATTTAACACCTTTGTCCAGGGTCTTTGAGCTTCCAGAGGGCACACTCCATTTTTGAGGAAGTTGTGTGCATGTCAATTCCACAGGAACGTGTTTCAAATTCAGATTGACAAAGTCCAAAATAGTGTACAATAGAGCAGCTACGTGTTTGCAGCAACCTCCTTGGCCAGCCTTACAAGAACACTTAGCATATTCCACTTCACCGTTAACTTGGATTAATGAACATAAACAGGATAGCTGACGCTCTTCATGGAAGCACCAACACGCGCTTTCACCACCAACAACAGCTTCGAGGCTTGCACATTTGGCTTGACAAAAGTACTTTTTACATAACCTTCTTTCCATAGTCCATAGCCTTTCTTCATATTTCGATAAGCTTTTGGAGCCTTTTATCAGGCATTGTACGGCTATTTTTACAAGCTTATTCTCCAGCTTTTCATGAGTAAATCCTGGAAGTTTCTCTAAGCATTTTATCCAATCACGGTTGTCAGAATTGAAGATATCTTCACTTGTTTCCGACTCTACCAGCTTTCGAGGACATGCAGTACCTCCACATGGCCTCGTAAAATTCGACGAAGAAGCCGACTAGTGCACTGACTTTCAGAGTTATCCAACCGCAGAGGATCCGTGCAAGAGTTCTCAAAAGAACTAGAATCCTCGTTGGCTTGAACAGCCTTTAAAAGACAGTTAACTTCAAAACACTCACTTTCGACAGTAGCCATCTTGATTTTCCCGCTCTGTGACCACAAAGACCATAATTAACCGCGCGCTTAAGGTGTTATGACGTCATTATGCATAAGGTCTATTTCGCTGTTGGAATGATAAGATATTTTATGAAATTTGAATAATTTTTGGTACACTTTCTGAGTACTTTTCTTAAGTACCGAATAAAACGACAAGAGAACAGTTTACAAGCCACGAGACAGTCATCACAAAGCATACAAAGAATATTTAAAAAATCAACTTTTAAAATGAACAGTCCTCATGGTATTGAAAGAAATATTCTCAATGTTGTAACATATGTAATTTGAGTAATAAAATATTTTCTTCGCAAATCCTAAGTTTGTATTTATAATTATGTATAGCGTGAGCGCACAGCTCAGTGAGCTCCATATATATCTGGAGTAAGAACTTGAGACTTCCGTGAGGCCAAAAAGTGAAGCCAAAGATGGCGGATATTGAAGCGCTATAGTACGTCAGTTTCAGTCTTCCTATATGTGCGCAGTTATCTAAATTCGTATTTTTTAACTTTATTTTTTCCTATTTTGAGTAAAAATGAGGGGAATTTCAATGAGAGGTATAATACTAATGTTTGATACTGAGATACTTTTATATTTTAATTAAATTAACCAAGAAATAAGCGATTTCTCACTAAGAAAGCTACGGAGTGGCGGGTTGTTGATGTTTTCGGCTTTTCGCAAATCACTGACAACATTTACTACAGAATATGCTTCCCAAAAAAGATAGATACTAGTAAAACTTTTCTGAGTTCAATTCATCTGTATCAGGCTTTCATTCATGTAAAAAGTAATAGGAAAGAAAATTATGCTGAAAAACGTACGGGTTTGAAATATTGGCTACTAATATATGATTATGAAATTTATAAACAAGACTCATAATGCACGTAAAAGAAACCTTAAAAAGAGCTCTATTATAGGAAAGCTAACCAAAAAATAAAGGAAAACCAGAGTTAAAGCGTTTCGAAACAAAAAACGAAACAAAAAACTGAAAACATGAGGTGAAAATATATGGAAATAAATCAAAATTAAAGGTATGTGCGTAGTTGAATTTATGGCGAAAAATGCATATTTACTCACACTTACAGTCGGAAAATGCGGCACCCACATTGAGTAAATGCAAAGAATCACATTCTCAGTAAAATGAATAAATTTTTTCCATTCTTGTGCTCGCAAAATGATGAAAAACACGAAAATCTGAGGGTTTCGGGAACGTCACTCCCGGTCAAAAACAATGAGAAATATTTGGCCGCGCGAGTTAGGAGACTGAAACTGACGTACAATAGCACTTCCATCTCCGCCATCTTTGGCTTCACTTTTTGTACCCAAAGTTCTTACTCCAGATATATTTGGAGCTCACTGGCACAGCCCTCTCACGTAAGTCATTCCACGTGTAAGCTATGTTGCAATAACACACTTGTGCCGATAACATCATCTCGCGTGGAGGCCGCGCATACTTTCGGTAAAAACCGACTGTTCCCGAGAAAAACGGTCTCCCCAAGTTGCCTTTACTTAAATCCTTCACAACTCTCATCCTGGTCGGTCTTTAGTGGGTATCACACAGCGGATGAATCGCGCCATTCGCCCTCCACATCATCATAGCCGTATCAAATAGCGAACGATCGACCTAGTTCAGGGCAAAAGAATTCACAGCATTTAGGGTTGTTCTTGTTGCAAACCATTCGTAGAGATTGCGGTCGCAGGCACTCCATGTAAGCACACCATTGCTGTGTTTTCTCGTGCAATATCTGTTCGATGTGCGATATTTATTTTCATGCTTTCCTTTGTTTTTTCGGGCGAGTATGTTCAGGTTCGTCCTGTCATTAAACATATTACCAGTAATATACATATATATACATATATATATATATATATATATAATATATATATATATATATATATTATATATTATATAT